ACTTGCAGATTACGATTGAAAACTACAACCTTTTTCGGCTTGACCGAGGATCTAAAGGAGGTGGAATTGCCATCTATGTTCGTAACACTATTGCATGTTCACCAGCTCACTCCTTGTTTAAAAAATTTTGCTTTGAAGGTCTGGCTCTCAGAATAACTCTCACAAATAATCAACAGATGTTGGTAGTGTGCTGCTATAGACCGCCTTGTGGGAAGGATGTTGAAGCTGCATCGGCACTGAGAGAGCTTTTTGGGGGCCTCCCTAAAGGTGAAATAATTTTAGTGGGTGATCTAAATTGGAATTGGCTAAACCCGTCAGCCGTGGCCACAAATTTTACAGATGAATTTAACTTGTTTCAATTAATAAATGTCCCCACAAGACCCAACCTAAAAAATCCGGGACAGTCAACTCTGCTTGACGTCCTATTGACAAATGCCCCTCACAATTTCGCACTGACTGGTGTTCTGGGTAATAACCTTAGTGATCACTCCTTCATTTTTGGTGTGAGATCATCAGCCAGACCCAAAGCCCCCCCTAAAATTGTTGAGAAGCACTCTTTGAGGCACTTCAGCACTCAGGCATTTACAAATGATGTGCTTCACTCGGATATTGATAAGGTCTGTGATATCCCCAACCTGACTACGGCTTGGGAGACTTTCAGGTACACGTTTCTCCAAATTTTTAACAAACATGCTCCGTTGGTTAGATTTAAAACTAAAGGCAACCGCCCACCATCCTTTGATTACAAAGCTCATGAAAACTAGGGACAAGGCTTGGGCATGTGCTCAGAAAAGTAATTTGGTAAATGACTGGCTAGAATACAGGATTTTAAGGAATAGATGCGTAAAAAAAGTACGGCATGCAAAAAATGCCTATTTTTCCTCCACTCTCCTGGAATCACATGGAAATGCCAGGATTTTTTGGAAAACAATCAAATCTATCGAAAAGGCATCCAAAACAGAAAATCTGCCCGTTGAGCTTCACAGAAATGGGGAATATTTTTCAGATCCCAAAAAAATAGTTGACAATTTTAACCTTCATTTTTCTGAAGCTGGTAATTTTTTTGATAATGTATTGGGAGTCACCCCTGCTCCTGCAAATTCCTACACCCCTGTCCAAACATTAAACAAATTTAGTTTCCAACCAATCCACGAAAGTAATGTTCTGAAACAACTGTCCTACCTCAAAGGGTCCTCTACCGGAGCAGATAGTTTTCCCGTCTTTGCTCTACTAACTGTTGGTCACCTAATATACAAACCTATAGCCCATATTTTCAACCTGTCCATCAAAGAAGCATCAGTTCCTCTGGAATGGAAACATTCCTATGTCCGTCCACTTCACAAAGGGGGCCCTAAAGATGATCCCAATAACTACCGACCTATCTCAATTTTGTCCCCATTGATGAAAATTTTTGAAAAATTATTGAACTACCAAATTAGCAGTTTCCTGTCCACCAACAATCTACTACATCTAAAACAATCTGGGTTCCGGAAAAAATACAGCACCACATCTGCTGCATTAGACTCTTTGAATCAAATTTACAATAGCCTTGATAATAAGCAGTACTGTGCCTGTCTTTTTCTTGACCTGTCCAAAGCTTTTGATACAGTTGACCACAACACCCTGCTTAGTAAACTAAGTTGCCTCGGTTTTTCCGAGAACACAGTACAATGGTTAAAAAATTACCTCTTTTCTCGCACCCAAACTGTATTCACAGATGGTTGAGGTCAAACAGTGTTAAGATAACAAAAGGGGTTCCACAGGGTTCCATCCTCGGCCCCCTCTTGTTCTCTCTTTATGTCAATGACTTGGGCACTGAACTGGATCATTCCAGGGTAAATCTTTTTGCAGATGACACGATACTGATTACTGCTGGCCGCTCTCCGGATGACGTGATTGCTAAGCTCCAGGGTGATTTCAACAAACTACAACATCAGCTAGTTTCTCTTAAATTAGTCCTGAATACCTCCAAAACCAAGGTGCTATGCTTCTCTCCGGGACTAAAGCAGGAAGTTATTTTTCCCCAATTACATTCCTTGAATAATTATCAAATAGAGCAAGTCAAGATCTATAAGTATCTTGGGGTCATCCTGGATTCAAAACTTAGTTTTGAAGATCACATTGATTATATTGGTAAAAAGACAAAAATAAAAATTGGTTTTCTGTATCGACACAAGCACTGCTTCCCCCCAATGTTCCGTTTAGAATTGATAAAAGCTACCATACTGCCTCTACTTGACTACTGTGACATCGTGTATAAATCAGCCTCAAGTACTGTACTGAAGAAGCTTGATTCCATCTATCACTCGGCCTTAAGATTTGCATTGAACTGCCCATATAGGACTCACCACTGTGATCTCTACATTGGGTCAAACTTAACATCTCTTAATGTTCGACGGCTTGTGCACCAGATCTTATTTATTCACGATGTACTTACAAACAATTCCACAGACTACCTACTGGATCTCCTCTCTGTTTCAAAGAACAAATTTGACCTCAGGTCTTCGCTCATTTACCAGCTTCACATTCCCTATTGCCATACAAAAACTGGAGGAAGGGCCTTTGCTATTGATGCCCCCAGGGTCTGGAATGCTATTGCCAATAAACTGCAACTTGAATCACTACCTATGAGATCTTCACTCAAAACTGCTCTAGAGGAGTTGTACAACCCTAGCTGCCACTGCTATTCAGTGGCCTAAAATATGGCTCTAGATTTTGGTGTTATAATTTATTTATGTAGTTTATTGTTAAAAATTCGGTCACAGTCCCTATGATCACTGTTACGTTGCAATTATGGCTTTTTATTTTAGGTGATTTCGAAAAGTTTTTTGTTTGGACATGTTTTGTTTAGTTGTAGTACGGAGTTAGACTGATGGCCTTAATCTAGTTGTCTTGTGGTTGTTGTTATTGACTTGCATCCCACTGGGATTTTTTGCACACAGCGTTGGTGTACGGTGCTATTTTCAGGAATATTTTGCTGTTTTTTTTCAATGGATTTTCTGTTTGCACAGTCACATAAGTCACTTTAAGATGTTTTTCTTGTTCGTGTTTTGTTTTTGTTTGTTGTGGTTGCACCCGATTCAAGAGCCGGATGGCTCACAGGGCTATACCAAAATAAACTGAACTGAACTGACAGAGTTGCCCATCTGGCACCGCGAGGAGGTAGGGGGTTGTTTTGCCAAACACACACAGGTATACACATACACGCATACACAGGTGCTAATGCCTACGCACGCACAAGCTGTAACACATACATGCCCACATGGGTACACTCACACAAGGTTATAAAGATAGGAGCAGGTACTAACAAGCAAACAGGGGTATAAACAAATGCAAATATGTATGCACAAGTATCAACACACATAAAGACACACAGGCATGCACATACATGCATAGGCACAGGCAGGAATGTACAGGTATAATCACACATACCGCAATTGTTGCATCAGTATCAGCAGCATTACCATTACGCTAATGCACACAGGCGCCTTCCACTAATGTCTCAAGGCTCCTTATAAGAATAAGGACTTAAGATGTGGTTTTTAGATGAGACTTATTATCGAGATAAACGAATTTCCAACGGTAGGGAATTCCACACACAGCAAGATCCCGGCCGCTCACCCAGGAACGCAGCCGGGATCGAGGCACGCACATTGTCATTTTTCACAGATATCAATGCACAATGGAAGGAACAATCCTCTGGTCACGTTTTGCAAAGACATCAAACTTCACGATAAAAAGTTGCTCGTATCATCACCACCACCATCACTATTATTATAACCACGCGTATTTGTTTCCAGCCGTTACATTTAATTTGTGTTTCTCGCCACCGTTTTGCGAAACGTTTTTTTGTCACTTTCCCCCCCGTTTAATCCCGACCGCGCTATCGGCGACGTTACGAGACGGCGAATCCATTCGGAAAAATCTCGCAGAGCCGCGCACCACTCCTTATCGCAAGAGAACGGCCCGCAGAAGTGGACATCGAAGAGCTACCACTGAGGTATATTCTTCAAGTGGCCTCTAGTGCACACACAGTAGGGGGGTAGGGGTGGGGGTGGCGTGGGGGGAGCAGCACTTTCCCATCCGCTCTGACCAACGGGAATCGCACGACAGTCAAAACCGACATTTCAATTCTCGGAGATGAAATTCAGCCGAAGGAAGTGCAGAACTACACTGAATGCGACAGTGTTTATTTTTTTTTGCTCAAGTCATCGGTGGGTGAGCAACACGAGACCATCGTCAAATCGCTACGCTTTAGAGCGCGGTTTACTTACAGGCAGTGGGATGAATCCTGGAATCGAACTCACTCGGCGTCTGTGACCTCTTGAGCCACCCCTTGAATTCCTCTCCGTTTGCAGAAAGCGTTCGGCCCGTATTCTTAGTCGGGGCTCGTCTCAGCCTTGGGCCTGGCTCAGGGCGAGCTGCTGGCTCAAAGCCAATGCTCACCCTGAGCAACGCTGGCGAGCACGGTCCGCTCATGTCTGTCCAGTGTTCGCCTCGCTGCATCGGCTTCCGTTTGCCGAAGCAATGCGTCATAAGGTCGCGCTCATTACCCACAAATTGCTTGCCACAAATGAACCACACTGCCTTGCTGCTGATCTCGTCGAGGAACATAAACCATCATCACGCAAACTCCGGGCATCCTCGCAGTGGATTTTTGCTGTTTGTCAAAGATGGTCACCGCATCGCACACGTTTAGATGCACTTCTGCAGCCGTCTGAAACGCTCTTCCTTCCGATTTCAGGAAGCCACTGGAGCAATGTACTTTTACGTCATCTAGTTTGAAAACTCATTTCTTTAATACTACGTTTTGTGTTAAGTTTGTTGCCCTTCCCCCGCACCTCCAATTAGCACGGTTGGCTACGTATGGTGCGAAAGACGTTCAACATACATACACATACATTCCCACAAGGCAGAGCCAAGAGGCGAGCCGCGGTTACGAACGAGAGCGGTTCGGTTGCGAGCTCACCCCTCCGTGCGCGCGGCCGGCGGGGACTCACCAGTCCACGTGCTGGTGCACACAGTCAAAGGTGCCCTGAGCCCCGTCCCGCGAGCGGTAGATGGAGAAGGTGCGGAAGCCGCTGGGGCTTTCGGACAGCGGCACAGGGATCTTCATGTACTGCGGGAAATGCAGAAAAACTCTTAACCGGGAGGCGGCACGGCCCGGTGACATCTTTGACATCGAGTCGGTGCCAACCACATAGGTCAGTGCCTGCTGAGGCGGTGGTGTAGTGTGGTTGGCATGGCTTGAAGTGGGGTCCCCAGTCCAAGTTAACCCCCCCTTCCACCACCCCCTACCTCCCCTCTTCTCCGTATCTCGGCGCCCGCGGTGCAATTGTACCGCCTGCACACTCGGGAGCTACGCCATTGGCACCAACCCAGCGGTCAGGTACAGTGAGGGGAAAAAAGTATTTGATCCCCTGCTGATATTGTACGTTTGCCCACTGACAAATAAATGAGTCTATAATTTTAATGGTAGGTTTATTTGAACAGTGAGAGACAGAATAACAAAAAAAATCCAGAAAAACGCATATCAAAAATGTTATAAATTGATTTTGCATTTTAACGAGGGAAATAAGTATTTAACCCCTCTGAAAAACATGACTTAGTACCTGGTGGCAAAACCCTTGTTGGCAATAAGAGGTCAGACGTTTCTTGTAGTTGGCCACAAGGTTTGCACACATCTCAGGAGGGATTTTGTCCCACTCCTCTTTGCAGATCTTCTCCAAGTCATTAAGGTTTCGAGGCTTACATTTGTCAACTCGAACCTTCAGCTCCCTCCACAGATTGTCTATGGGATTAAGGTCTGGAGACTGGCTAGGCCACTCCAGGACCTTAATGTGCTTCTTCTTGAGCCACTCATTTGTTGCCTTGGCCATGTGTGTTTTGGGTCATTGTCATGCTGGAATACCCATCCACGACCCATTTTCAATGCCCTGGCTGAGGGAAGGAGGTTCTCACCCAAGATTTGGCGGTACATGGCCCCGTCCATCGTCCCTTTGATGCGGTGAAGTTGTCCTGTCCCCTTAGCAGAAAAACACCCCCAAAGCATAATGTTTCCACCTCCATATTTGACGCTGGGGATGGTGTTTTTGGGGTCATAGGCAGCATTCCTCCTCCTACAAGCACGGCGAGTTGAGTTGATGCCAAAGAGCTCCATTTTGGTCTCATCTGACCACAACAATTTCACCCAGTTGTCCTCTGAATCATTCAGATATTCATTGGCAAACTTCAGACAGGCATGTATATGTGCTTTCGTGAAGGACTGCAGGATTTCAGTCCTTCACGGCGTAGTGTGTTACCAATTGTTTTCTTGGTAACTATGGTCCCAGCTGCCTTGAGATCATTGACAAGATCCTCCTGTGTAGTTCTGGGCTGATTCCTCACCGTTCTAATGATCATTGCAACTCCACGAGGTGAGATCTTGCATGGAGCCCCAGGCCGAGGGAGATTGACAGTTCTTTTGTGTTTCTTCCATTTGCGAATAATCGCACCAACTGTTGTCACCTTCTCACCAAGCTGCTTGGCAATGGCCTTGTAGCCCATTCAAGCCTTGTGTAGGCCTACAATCTTGTCCCTGACATCCTTGGAGAGCTCTTTGGTCTTGGCCATGGTGGAGAGTTTGGAATCTGATTGATTGCTTCTGTGGACAGGTGTCTTTTATACAGGTAACAAGCTGAGATTAGGAGCACTCCCTTTAAGAGTGTGCTCCTAATCTCAGATCGCTACCTGTATAAAAGACACCTGGGAGCCAGAAATTTTTCTGATTGAGAGGGGGTCAAATACTTGTTTCCCTCATTAAAATGCAAATAAATTTATAACATTTTTGACATGGGTTTTTTCTGGATTTTCTTGTTGTTATTCTGCCTCTCACTGTTCAAATAAACCTACCATTAAAATTATAGACTGATCATTTCTTTGTAAGTGGGCAAACGTACAAAATCAGCAGGGGATCAAATACTTTTTTCTCTCACTGTAGCAATGAGCACACTGCCGAGTATATTTCTAACCACGGCTGGCACTAAAACCATGGACCAGTTGGCCGCGAATGATGCCAGAGAGCATCGTAGCTTTGGCCCGAACAGCCCTGGTCATAGGGCGGAATGCCGTGCAAATCAGCTGGCAGTGAAGGTCTATCCTCCCCTGCTGTCCGCCCAGGCAGAAGTTTCCGGCGAGACAGGTTTGGCGACAAAATAGTTTTGCATCTCTAGTTGTTGTTGTAGTCATCATCATCACCACCACCCCTCGGGCCACCCCCCACACACCCAGGTGTTGATTCTAAAATGTTATGTATTTATCTAGGAGAGCCACACCGAGTCACAGGACTCTTCATCAGGTTGGTCCTGCTGCTGCTGCCACATTAAATAAACTGGCGCGTCCGGAGAAAACCAAAGCCAAAGCCTTGTGCGAGGGGGAACACTCTATTCCATGCCACGAGTTAAGATTATGAAGCCACTGGAGCCAAGCACTTTTTAAATCTAGACTGAAAACTAATTTCCTTAGAACTGCTTGTTGTTGTGTTTAGTTTGTTGTCCTTCCACCGCACCTCCGATTAGCACGGTTGGCGACGTACAGTGCAAAATAAGTTCAACATACATACATAATACTATACACTCCATTATAAACTACACTACTCTATACCACTCGCTATACACTCCACTACGATACACTACACTGAATCATCATTTCTTCAGAACTGCTTTTTGTGTTAGTTTGCTGTACCTCCCTCACACCTGCGATTAGCACGGTTGGCTACGTACGGTGCGAGAGAAGTTCAACATACGTACATATGTACATTCCTGGCCACGCTCCCATTGACCAACCCCCCCCCCCACCGCCCCCCACACTGACCAGTGTGGCGAAGTATGGTCAAACAAACTCCAGGGCAGGCAGAGTGTGGAGGAGGCCTTTGCCCAGCAGTGGATGGACAAGGCGCTCTTAATTATGGTGATTGTTATTTTTAGCGACGTTCTGCGGCCACCAACGGCTGAGTGGGGCGCCCATGTGAGATGGAGGTGGTGATGGAGGTCCTTACCCCCTTGTCTCCTCCCAGACAGATCTTTGGCTGTGGGCATGAGGCTCCCTGTGGTGGGGAAAAGAGGAGAGGAGGGATTTGGAGGGAGCAGACACAGGGGGGGGAAGGGGGTAGTGTTTGGACATTAATTATTCATTGATTAATTAACTTCACTTAAATTCCTTTCAATAATTGTGTTTGGTCTTTCGAGTCCTGATTATCAGCATCACAAGACGAAGAATGCATTAGGAATGCGCACAGCAGGGCGTTTCCCCTTCTTGTGAAGAGAATGGCCGGCAGAAGTGGACATTACAGAGCTATTTCTGAGCGACCTCTGATCCAACAGAGCGGAGGGCAGCACTTTCCCATCTTGCCCTGCCAACCGAGAGCAACGTTCGTCACGTGACGAACATCAAACCGATATTTTTCATTCTCGGGAGGTGGAATTAAGACAATTTAAGAAGCCTAATTTAACACGATTATACGGGGCTGAGACCGTCAACTCGCTCGACTTGAGAAGGCCAAATTAATCACAGACGTCTCTGCCCACCCCCCAACGACCCACAGCTGCGTTCCTCACCAAGATTGATGTGCAAACAAAAACAAGCTCCCCCGTCTAGCCTTAACAGACTGTTGGGGCAAGTGCTGCTTGCGAACACCTATGTAGGCCGGCATGGCACACGAAGGGGGTGGGTGGCCAACAACCATGCCTGGCCGCCTTTGTCTCCCTCATGGCGATGCTTAACACATCGCACCAGGTACTCATCTGAGGCCAATTCGACCTCGGGGAGGCCCAGGACCAGTTCAGATAATCCTCACTGGCGGTGGCCGTGAGCGCGATGCGCAAACACACATGCTTGCACATGCACGCTGTTCCCATGCCATCAGCCAATTCCGTCAGCCAGTACACACCAAACACTGGGAGGAAAACCCCATGAATATGCACGGTGGGATTTTGTGCAAATGATTACCGACGTGCGTCTCTCGTCCCTGGAACGGATTTAATCGGCGGAGATCGAGTCACGGAGGCGCACCACGAGATGGCGATCAACGTGGTGGCGTGACGTCGTCACCCTGGCTGAAAAGGCTTCTCCATAATAGCGCCGGGGGGTTTCGTGGCAACGCTTTGGCGAGCCCAGTCCGTTAAAGTGTCAAGATTTTCTCAAGGGGTACTTCCCGAATGACGACAACAACACCAAGGTTAGATGTAAAAACGTGATTTTTTTTTCCCCCTGCGTATATTTTTGTTTTGTTTACGACAGTTATTGTGGTCCCCTGCATTTGGATGGACGGTGCTCATGCAGAAAATGTAAAATAAACAGTCCAAAAAAAATGTAATCGCCGGGTGATTTAACACCCACAACCAAAATAACCTCGGACGTGCTTCATTTTGTCTATTACTATTAAACTATATATTTCATTTTACCAGGTAAGGCCCACTGAGCTGTATAGCTCTTGTTCAGAAGCGACCTGGCTATGGCATGGCGATGGGGAGGCCGTCATCCAGCAGTGAATTGACATTAAAGGGTTGTTGCATGCACACTCGGTCAAGCAGACAGAATGTTTAGTCTCGTCCACACTGCGCTCATACCACTACCACCACACTGTGCAGGTCAAAACAACACACTCACCCACGCACCCACTCACTTACTCAACGACTTACCTACTCACTCACGCACTCACTCTCCCACCCACTCACCGACTTACCTACGCACTCACTCACTCGCTCACAAAGCCACTCACCACACTGCAAGCACAGTAACATGCTGACCCACCCACTCAATCACTCACTCATTCATTCACTCACTCACTCACCCATTCATTCACTCACTCACCCATTCATTCACCCACTCCCTCACCGAGCCACTCACCCACCCATCACAGAGCAGGTCACAACACTTCTATTTTTCTGCTTCTTCCCTCGCACTGCTCCACTGTAGAATTCCCTCCTCCAATCACCGTCGTCTTTCCCCCCACCACAGCCCTCGCAACATCAACCTTCCTCAACTCAGCAAGACACGTGTTCAAAACTATTATCTCTTACAACTTTGATAATACTGTAAAAAGCCATTTAGTGACGGCCCTTCGATCTCTTTGAGCCTTTGCTCTGCAACGTTATTCAGAAAAAGGAAAAAAGTGGTCCAACATTTCAGGCAACAGCCCAACTTCAGAGCACAGAGAAGAAGGGGGGGGGGAGGGGCAGAGTGAAACTCGCCGAACCTGTGGCTGGCAACGCGCGCTAGCTTTACAGCGCGGGGAGGGAGATTTTCTCTACTACCTCCTAAAAAAGCGCCGAGTCTGTGTTTCCCCGAGGCCGCGTGGCCAAGGTCCACGGCCCCACGTCACAGGGTGCAGATGGAGGCAGCTGCGCTGGGCGCAGCCCCCGAAACCGCTCGCGTCAGCTGATGCCGGATGGCGCCTCTACGCTCGGGGTGCTTTGGACTTAACTTGGGGTTTCACAGTGGCTCGGAGATGCTAAATGCCTCGCTTGGTATTCAGGAGGTCGTGGGTTAGATCAGGACGCCTGTATATTTGGAGTTTGCGTGTCTCTCTCTCTCCCCGTGGTCACGTGGATTTTTCTCCGGGTCCTCCAGTTTTTCCCTCCACATTAAGAATCAACATCACGCGTTTAGAGTATTTGGCTGCTATAAATGTCCGGATGATAAGCCCCTTTGTTGAGGTATCATTTGTGGCCACGTCACTCCTGAAAAAAGCTATGTAGCTCAGTGGGCATAACCTGGTAAAAATTAAAAAAAAAAGTTAAAATAGTTACGTTAACTCTGCCACATTGACCGGACGTGCTGGAAGAAGTTGGTAGTATCCACACTTTAGCCCACCACGGGCAATCACAGGCAAACTGCGGTGAACCCACTCATTCGTGCTGCTGGGTGGACAGAGGCGGAGGGTGCTGTGGGGGGAGGGAATGGATTTGGGAAACTTGCCCCGTTGTGACAATTGCCGCGCCTGGAGGTAGTCTCGGACCTGCGACCTCTGGATTGCAAGTCCAGTGCGCTGCTAACGATTAACGTCGCAGCGGCAGCTTAGTTATAGATGTTAATTGATTAAGTGACGAGTAATTAGGCCTCTATACACAACGCAGTGGGCTAAATGGCCGACGAATACGAGCATTACTGTACAGGTGGCGTCTCAAGCTCAGATAAAATATAATTATTGGCCAGTCAACCCATTACCGACAGCAAGTTAGCCGCACAATGAGTCATGCACCCTCCCCCTCCCCCGTGACTCCATAAATTATGCCCATTGGAAGCCCAGGCGATTATTGAAATCAGGAGTCGATTCTCCCTTTGTCTCGTTTGCAATGCCCGGCCACGGTTGTTCCGTCGTCTCGTGCGGGTCTGTACTTCTCCTGTAATGTGTTTCGTTTGTCCTGGCCTGTTTTGTTTGAGCAGCCGAAATGTACACAGGGCAGTGGTGATTCCACCACTCATGTTGAGGGACTTTATCTTCCTGACTGAGTCGCTTATCACATCCACACTGTGGTCCAACCACCACTACTGCATGTCACAGCAACACACTCGCCCGCATAATCGCACGCTCGTTCACTCGTACAAAAAAGACAAAGATCCCCCATATAGCCTTCACAGACTGTAGGGGCAAGTGTTGTTAGCGAGCACTCATACACCCACTGACTCACCAACTCAGTCACCAACCCACTCACTCACTCACCAACTCGCCCACCGACCCAGTCACGAGCCACACTACAACAGGGCACAACAATTCTCTCTTTCTGCTTCGTCCCTCGCCACTGCTCCTCCACTGTGCAAATCCCTCTTCCCCCCCCCCCTATCGTCTCTTCCCCCCTCCCACCCAAGGCATTGTAATCACCTTGCTCAATTCCCCAAATTATTACCGATTACAACTTTGACAGTGCTGTTTGCTAGTGGCCGTTTGATGTTTTTGAGCCTTTGGGCCTGTGCTCAGCAACAGTCTAAAACAAATACAGTCGACCCTTCTGCATCGCAGTTTCAATATATCGCAGGGTCGGCATAAGAAATTAAATGGGAATATTTTGGGAGTTTTGCGAAGGCCGCAGACGACACACGAAAAGTTGAGTAACTCATAAATGCATAAAATATATGGTACAATACTGTATATTATTAATGTATTTTATCTTTTAATACCATAAATATACGCAATTGTATTTTAAAGTAAATTTTTGAAAAAAGTTAAAGCAAAGGCTGGAAATGTAGCGATAACTTAAAAAGTTTAGTAACTGGAGGTGCTCGCTTCGCTCGCCAAGGGGACCGAAAAAAATTGACGTGGTTTTTCCAGATCGTGGGGGACCTGCGCCCCTAACCCATGCGAAGTGGAAGGGTCGACTGTAAAGAGACCTTGCAGACATCACGGGTGCAGAAGAACGCATTGATTCATTCACATCGGCACAACAGAGAAAGTGTCAAGGTTGTGTCAGAGCCTACAGATGAGGTGACAATGAGGTGTTACAGACTATAAAGAGGTGGCAATACTAGAGGCGGTGGTAATGTTGTGTCAGAGACTAGAGGGTGTGGCTCTGCTGTGTCAGAGACTCGAGAGGGGGATGGTTCTGCTGTGTCAGAGACTCGAGGGGGGTGGTACTGCTGTGTCGGAGATTGACAGTTATAGCCATCCTGTGAAAGCACCACCCCCCTACCACCCCAACAGCTGCAGGCAGACACAGGATGGATATTTTATTCTATTCTGAGAGACTCGTCGAATTCCTCAACTTTCCCCTTGGGGGCGGGCACAATTGCATGGGATTTTAGTTTGACGAGTAAAGCAGTCCCCCGCCCCCCACCCCCCTTAGCTTCACGACGCACGGCGTCGCGCGCGTAGGAATTAATGTTTTTCAATTTGCGGATCGATTCCACTGTTGGAGAGTGCAATTTTGGATGAATTCGCGGAACGTAAGCGTCGCGACAATTCACCGACATTCTCCGGATGGGGAATGGTCACCATCATCATCTTCGTCTCCTTGGCTGCCACTCTCCCCTAGAGTATTCTCGACCATCTGCCATCGTCCCTTCTAGCCGTGACGTGTGCCCTGCCCAAGCTCCGCTGACTTTTCTGAA